CCCCAAAACCCCAAAACCCCAAAACCCCATAGTTAATAAATCTGTAATTATTGAAAAATGACAGAGAAATTAATGATGTAGGAATAAATAATAATTAAGATAGCAAATATATAAAGTTTAATCCACTTAATCATAAATGAAACCTTATTAAACGTGTCGATTGATTTTAACTTTGGCTTTCTTGTGCTTTGCCTCAAACAATCTTTCTAAAGAACTACAACTCATTACTGAGTTGGAAACCCAATTGCTTATGAATAACCCTGACAACCTGCCACACACATACTTCTTGTTAATTTGCTATTAAAAGGATATCAAGTGTGCAGATGGGGATGAATAGGTATTAGCTGCACTAGATTAGCTGAAAGCCTCAAACTTCCCATTTGAAGAAGTGATTAACTCCGAGTTCAAGTTTAGAAGAGTTGAATGCATCAGAGATTATCAGAGAAAGCTTTGCCAATTACTTGGTCAGAATCACTATCTTAAGCCTGTAAGAATATAGATAATAGGATCAGCCAAAATACATAAGGAAACACCTCTTAATGTGAATGATATCAAAATTACAGTAGATGAGAAGGCAAATAAGCAAATGGTAGTTTATAAGTTCTCTAGCCCAATTCAAAAGGAATACATTCTCAAGAGAATCTTAATGTTCTCAGTGCCTACTCCAATTATTGCATTTGATGGACCAGTTGGAAAGATAAGCGAGCTAGAGGATGTGAAGGTATAACAGAATGTAATATTCGCTTTACAGTCATAGGATACTAATTTGGTTAAGCTTTTTAAGGAAGTAGCTTCCCAGTTCAGAGAGCGATTCTACTTTGTAACTCTGAATGACTCTAATCAAAACGAGACATAGTATTCTCAGCTGCATGCAGTTGGATTCAATTTCACTAAAACTCTTAATATTCAGTACAATAAGAAGAATCCAGCCTTAACAAAAATGTATTTACAAGCTGCTGTATAGGAATGGCAATCACAGGATCTTAAATATTGGGACTTCAAGCGTCACATCTAAAATTAAACATATATCGATTCACTTGAGGGTAAACTTATCATAGTTGGCATGGCAGGAAAACAGACTAGCTATCTAACTACAGATTTTCTATATGACTTCAGAAAGCTAGCTTAGCACTTTAGGTACTCTTTGAATAAGTATGAGTTTGCATTGATTGATATTGACAACGAGGAGATGTTCAATTACCTAACTACTTATCAGTTGGGCAGATTTGATAGTCCAGGCATCTTTATAATAGAGGACATCCATTTGTAGAAATACTACAGGAACTATGAAACTTACAATGGAAACAGAAACTTCAAGAACATCTCGGATAACTTGATAGCTGCCGTGAATCTCGGAGAAAAGAGTCCTCTATATTCATTCTGGAAAGACTGCTACTTGAATTTAGTGAATATTGAGCACTGGAATAACAATAGATTAAAGGGTTATATGTACTTCCTTGGAGTCATATCTACAGTCGTCTTACCTTTCGCTGTTCTGCTAGACTGCTTCTTCCCGATATTTGGAAGAGGGCCACATGCTAGAAAGAAGAAGGAGGGAGATGATCAGCAGCAACATGGTTCCAGCAAGGCTGACAAGTCTCCATTACACAGCAAGAAGCAATAAGAGTCAAACTAGAAATAAGAATCTCACCACTAAGACAAGTCTGACAAGAAGAATAACTGAGATTAATAGTGTGAATGCATTTATTAAATCAATCATTATTTGAATAATTAAGTTAAAATAAATACCTATCTAATAAAAAACATTTGATGCCTATGATCCATTTAGGTTATCTACAGAGCATTTACATTTTGCAATATCAATCATCTTGAATATCAACATCTTCAAGTAACTTTCCCTTTACAAATACTGATACTATTGGGTTATGATCCATTAAACCCAAATAAGTAGCCATTATCTCGTGAGAGATAGTTGTGATATCTATTCTTTGTAAAGGTGTATTAGGTGTATTTATTAATGAGTCAGTAATTTCTGAATTGAATGCTAAACTACTATCAAAGTTTTGGTTGAAAGATAGATCAATGTGCTTTAAAACTTAGTTTAATTTGATGGCTTCTCCTAAAAGCTGGAACTCGTGTTAATTTGCGAGTTTCAGAGCATCATTGGTAAGCACTAACCTTAGCAAGTGCTTATTTTTTTACAATCCCTTAAAAATCGCTTGTAAAACATTCCTGCTTAGAGTCAGGTATCTGATTTCTAGTATTTTTAAGGACTCATTTTGCTAAAGCCTTATATAGATTCCTCTGCAAATTGAAATATTAGTAGGTCTTTCAAGTATAGCTTTTTCCTTTTCGCTTTTTCCCTCGTCTAAGGAAACACTTTTTACCCATCTCTCAGCAATCTAGATTATTTCAAGGTTAGGGTGCTCTAAACAAGTCTCAATAGTCCAATACACATCATCCTCTGGCATTTAATTCATGACGAATGAAATCCTGGCGAGAGAGTCATTGCCATCTAAAAAGTTCTTCAGTTAAAGTATGAATGACTTGCTAAGGAAACACTGTTGTATTGTCATATATCTAAGTTCCTTAAAATTTTTATCGATTCCTTAAAATAGTTGTTTGACATACCTGATATTGTCAAACTTCATCTTGTTTAGGTCTACAAATTCTATTCTATCCTTCTTTGGAAATGATTCCATGAAGCTAACATATTTCTTAATGCCTTACTCATCGAGAGCCATATACTCATAATTTTGCCCAGTAAAGTTAAGAGCCTATGCTTTTCTATTGTAATGTATTCTGCCTCTGATATTTCTGAATCCATAAGCAGATAATGAAAGATTAGAAATCTTAATTTCTACTTTCTGCTAGTATGCAAGCAACCTCTTTCTTGAGTAGCAATATCTGGAGAATCTATAAAGCATTCCAAAGTATGTGTTGAATAGTGCCATTAAAATTCCTGCATAGATGATACCATTAGGATATTTTCTTCCACAATCTGTATTCACAAGGAAAATAGCTTATACAATGAATTATGGGATGTCTTCAAAGAATAGCTTATAGAGTCCGTAAAAGAGATCAGTCTTAGCCTTTTAATGAGTGATGTAGTCAATGCAGGCTGCTTACATTCTAAACTCGTTAAATATCATTATCCTAGTAGCATATTTTCTCTTTTTATCTTGCTCCCTTACTTAGCCAAACAACATCATCAGTAATAACGCGAATGAGTACATCTTAGGAATGGCAATAAGGACTAATGAAAATATCGATACTAAGGCTAAAGTTTAGAATTCCTCCTTCTGCACTAATGTAGCAAACGCCATATCTGTGTAAAGGTCAAATAAACCAATCTATGTCATGAGTATTTCAAAAAAGCATTTCAAGTAAACAGTAAACATAAAACAGCACTTTCCTTGTCTATAATACTTGCCCTTGTTGTATGATTTGAGATCAAATCTTGCACTTTCTCTAGATATATACTAGCATGCGAAAACTGTGTCAAATATTAGGAACAACCCTAAGTAAAAAGCCATAGCTACATGCGACATCCATTTGTGCCCTCCATCACAACCAATTACTGAAATAGTTGGAAATACCAGGATGACTAGCCAAAAGAGGACGTTTTAAATGAAATGAAACATCATGTACCATCTACTAGTAAAGAATAGGTTTCTTGCTCTAAGATACTTCATTGACTTTCTTCTTCTCTTCTAATGTTTTAGCTTCTTAGTCCTAAAGTATTCATTAAGTTGATCCAATTCATCCCAATTTAAGCCATGTTCCTCTTGATGTTGAATGTGCTCTGGGATTTCCCCATCTTCATAATCAAATTTGAAAAAATTCTCAGCTTTTTATGACAATCTCTTCTTTTATGTCTTTTCAATCAGATAGTTCTCTGGATTGGTATCAAGAATATTTTCCTCTTCATCATCATCGTGATTATTTTGATGCTCATCCATATTATGAACTTCTATTGCTTTTTACTTTGCAAATCCCTTGGCGGGATTCTTAGACTTCACTGATTTATTATCTGTATCACTTTCCATAATCTCAATGCTTTTATCAGTCACTGACTCATCATCTTGATCTTATAATTATTTTTAGCTTGACTTCTTTCTTTTCACATTAGATTATGCCTTATTATTGCTATTGGTTACAGCAGTCTTTTTTTCCTCATAAAAATTCATTTGTTAAAACTAAGGACTCTATTGCTATAAATTCTATTATTTGAGCTATGAACTATGATTAGAATTTTTCTTATCAATAGTAATTGGAGCTACTGCTCGTTTGCCTCTGTTTGAGTAATTATCGTCTTAGTTACTCCATTTTTGGCTTACTGCATCATCCTCATCTTCTTCATCGTCATCATGATATACACCATATCGCTTTTACGGTTAACCTACTGGCTTTTTGCTAAGTATTGAGTTATTGTTCAGATTAATTTATTATCCACTACTTAAATTTGAAATTTTCCTTTGTACATCAGGCTTTAGATCATTATCAGTCTTATTGCTATTCTATTACTTCAATGAGAGATTATTATTGTCTTGCTTATTCTTGCTCTTGTATGAATATTCAGATGACTCCTTCGAAGACTCTTTCTTGAGTTGGTGTTTCTTTGCTGGTTCTTGTTTATATTTTAAGTTGCTCATTTCCATGTTACTTTTCAAGGGCTATTACTTTTACTCATCTTTTTTAATTTGTTTTTTCTTATCATAAACTTAATCCATATCACTATTTCTATCCTTCTCCTCAGACTCTTCGTCGCTAAATGGATTTGGCATCTTCTTCTTAAAATTATGCTAAGCTTGTATGTTTTATTTAGGAGGAGGTTTTTTGCTTTTATATCTGTCATCATCACTATTATCATCTTCTTCATCATCATCAAACTGTTCCTATTTTACTTCAAATTATTTCTTTTTAAAAGCATTGTTGCTTTGAGTTTTGGGCAGATCTTTATCAGATTTCTAAGGTTACTTTTAGTGAGGAATATTTTCTTCATCAAAATCAGCTAAGTCAAATTAAGCCCCGACACCGATTGGATCTAAGAATATAAAGATCTAATTCCTTACAATCTTATTCATCAGGATCATCGTAGTTATCATCATAACCTCGTTTTTTATTCATTTTGAAATATTAATAAGATAATAATACTTCGCTTAGTCTAGCCTATTAGATTCTGAAGGGGTTTTGGGGTTTTGGGGTTTTGGGGTTTTGGGG